GTAAAAACATCAATTATGTTCAGAATCGAAGCTTCCGCAGCTACTACAATGTTATTCTACCCGTATTCTAGAGCCCATGGTCGTTATAACGCAGCGGTTGCGCGCATGCTCATGCAAAACGGCCCCTTGTTCTCTAAGTCAACTTGCACATATTTCATACCTTTCAAGTAAATTAACTTACCAATCATTTTTGTTCCCAATCGTTATGTCTTTGAGATTCCCTTATGTCGCAAAATCAAAATTGATACAGATCTGGCATTCTTGCAGCTTGTCAACTAAAACATTTCTTCATTACCATTATGACATCATAATCGCGCGCGCAGCTGATAAGTAAACCAYTGAGGGAACATAACGCAGGCTCAGATATTAACTTTGATCGTCATATAGAATCGGCTGATTGCACTTGCCCGCGAACTTGATTATTACGGATATCACAAAAAGTGTTAACCTCCTCCAAAAATTRTTCATAAATCGTGCTCAAACATGAACAATACTACTGAGAATGRCATTTACAAAATGTATAGAAGAGAGAATTCCATACTTAATAGTTAATTAATAAATTAATTATTGACTCCTGAAAATAATGATAAAATAGAAATTCCATATTATTGTGCTTCAAGTAAATTGAATATATATCTTCATTCCTTTGGAACCTACAATGAAAAAAGTTTACAATAATTCCACTCCTTCCCCTCCCTAAACCGTCTTGTTGGCACCCAAAAAGCATTTAGCAAGTATGTGTAATCTTCGAAATTCAACTTTGAAATTCAAATTTTACGAATTCTGTTCAAACATTTTAATATTTTGTGATTTTACAAAAATTGTCAACTTATGTCCAAGAATGGGGACGATCCATTTTAAAGCACAGGATCCCACGCGAACAACTCGACTAATGGCCGCTAAGGTCGAAAGCTTGGTTTGAAGAATAAAAGAACCTTAAATACGCAGAAGAAGCAGTCTTCATTTATAAACAAATGCCTGCGTACAAAGAAATTCTGAACTCGACTAATGTTAATTACAACGTTTGATAGCAAGAAAAAAGACGCACTTAATTATCAGCCGCCATATTCAACCTCCAGAAACAACACCATAGCGGGAAATACAAACCATAATCTTAAAGAATCATTTTTTTCACGTTCCGGTACCAGGTATCTAAGCTTGAAAAAACGACCTCTGACATTGTGGGCAGGCGTGTGACACGTTTATATTTCTGAATAATGGAAAGTTACAGTGTTGAAAGACCTTGTTGGGATTCGAACCCACGACCTTCATGATTCATATATTAATGTAATTTCAATTACCGCGACTGAACAACTATTTCACYCCGGTCTGTAAACGGTCCGATCTTGTAGCTCAGCATCGGTAGKACAAATCATAAGATTGTGTCGTTGGACTCGAATTCCAGCGAGTTCGAATATTAATTTTTTTTTGATACACTTAAAATCAACTAGACACCTGTAATTTAGCCCCAAGGGGTTACAGGGAAATTAGGAAATCAAATTGCAGACATTGATTTTTCCATTTTTTTTGCTCATTTCTCAACCCTGCCCCCTCCTGATAAATATTGCGCAGTCCCTAAAACAGCGTTTGCTAGCTTTGAAAGGGAAAAAGGCGTATTGTGTGATTGTCGACGCTACAATTGTAGCTACAAATTCCGACTTGTATATGTTTCGACTTTATCACTTAGTAGTTCCTTGTGTATAAAATTCTCAGCATGATATGTCACTTGAGGCCATTGCAATCTATCATCTCAAAGATATGGCAAAGGAAATGAATGAAAAACGATAAAACTTATTTTCTAGGGTGATCGAGTATAAGATCTTTTTAATACACTCGAAGATAAAATCCGTATCTCCGTGCGATCATGTTAATATTCTCTATAGTCACTTGTGATAGCGTGCACGTGGTCGTCGCTGTTGGTGGCAAGTAAATTAGCATATGACGGTGTAAATAAATAACAGTTTAGTTCATTCTCCACAGTCTGTGCACAATACAGGAACACTTGAGAAGTTTGTCGTGTCTTAGAGAAAGCTTGTCCATGGCCGTATTGCATTTAATGCAACCTTTCAGCAGTGAGTTTCGGGCGGGGCTGGAAGGGGAATATTTCAATTTAAGATATTCCGTATTCCGCTGTTCTCCATRGGTGAATATTCCCATTCCTTGGTAATATTTATCATACTTATTAACATACTAAGGCTAAACTGTTTATACTCCAGTTTCGAGATCTTATTTGTGCAGCCTTAACCTCGAAAGCATGCAATATATTCTTTTATTCAGGCAGAGATTCTTTTGCAAATGCAAACGCTCGGTTTACAAAGAAGACAATAAAAAATTATGCTTGATTGAAGCTAAGCTTTCACAAAAGAAAATTCAGCAGTGAGTCTCGGGGTTGGAAGGGGAATATTTCAATTTAAGATATTCCGTATTCCGCTGTTCTCCATGGGTGAATATTCCCATTCCTTGGTAATATTCATCATACTTAAACATACTAAGGCTAAACTGTTTATGCTCCAGTTTCGAGATCT